TAATCTGTATATTATAATCTACGAATAGTATAAATATGAAACGAATAAAATAAGATTTACAATTTTTTTATTTGTCGTGATAAATTCCGGATATTTATGTCGCGGACTGTAGTTTTACCTTTTCTGAGTTTTGTAAAATTTTTTAATAAAGTTTTAATATAATTTACTAAATTATATCTTTTACTATTTAAATGATTTGCAAAATCTTTAGGTTTTATTTAATAATCTTAATGATAATTAAGTAATTTATTTATTAAATATGATTATTTCTACCTAAGATTCCTATAAGTCTATTTAATCTCTATTTAATTACTAAAGAAAGTGTAATACTAGAGTAAATTCTTACTTGAAAGTCTTTATAGATTAATAATATTATTCTAATATTATAAGTATTTAACTATATTATTAGATAAAAATTATTAAATAAGGTTTTATAAATATAATTAAATTCATTATATTATTAAACTACCTGAGAATTGAATCTAATTTTTAACTTATATAGAACTTAAAATTAAAGAAATAATTAACTAATAATTTTTATTACTTTTTAAATAGTATCATGATTATTTCATAATTTAAGCTATAAATATATTTATTAATTTGTAAAGTAAATTTAATATAAAGAATAAAAAAATTTAGGTATCTCATAATAAAAAATCAATTGCAATTTTTTTAATTAAAAGAAAAATACCAGTTTATCAACTTTCAAATTGTAACATTTTCTATTTGTTAAGGATTATAAATTTGCTTTTTATATTATAATAAGTTAGTAAAATTAAGATTTTTTATGGTTAGATTTAAAGTTAAGTATATTAGATAGTTTGCCATTATTATAATATTGATAATATTTTAATTTTTAAATATAAGAAAAATAGAGAATTTTTTAATAAATTAGATTTATTTATATATTTATATACATAATCAATTATATTAGTTAATTATAATGTGAGATAAATTAATAGTAATAAATAAAGTATAATATTATTATATAACTCTAAATATCACATAATATAAATTTTCAGTTATCATAATATTTTACTTACTTAATGAGAATAAATATACAAAATAAAAAGTTTTTAGATTTACTATTATCTAATCTTATTTCTTCTTGATGATTTAATTAATATTAAAAGCTAAATTGCTTATTCTTAATACAAACCTAATCCTTATAAGTATTTATTATATAAACATTTGTAAAATATGATTAATGATAATTGCCTACTAATATTATCACTAGGTTTATTTTTATTTATTTTAACGTCTAAGTTGAAAAGCTGTTGCAGTTAATTCTACATGTTAGAGTTTCTGACTTTAGGATTTTCTCTAAATTCTACAAATATCCGTTATATTTGAACTAATTTGACAATTTATTATATCTTAGATTTAAGATATATTAGTCAAATACGTAATGACGAATTCAATAGCAAATTAGTATAGAGTATCATAATAAATCTTAGATAAGGATAATGTTGAAAGAAAAAGTAAATTTGTATGAATTTAAATTGATTCCTTTATTTATAACTTGAAACTTATATAAAACTTACAAATGGGTTTATAAACTTATAACTAAGTTAATTTACAACTTAAGCAAAAAGCTATTCTATTTATATAAAATAAATTTGCTATAACTAATTACTTGCTATACTATAAACTAACTATTTTGATAAACTTTACTTATAAAAAATAATAAAAATAAAGATATAAAATAAAAGATAAAATATAATAATAATAAAAATGAAAGAAATAATAAAAATAATAATTATAACAAAAATAATAAATATATAAAGAATTTAATGAAATAAGCCAATCAAATTAAATCAGGTAAATTAGGTAAATTTTGCAAATTCTTCAAATTAAATAAATTAACCTAATTTTCTAATGCAGTATGTCAATTAAGATCTTTCTTAATATGATCTATAGTATAGAGTTAAGAATTTATAAAAATTAAATTACGTAACTTTCTAATAAATAATTAAGAAAATATTTGATAAATAAAAAAAAGATCAATAGATAAATATTCAACTGAAAAACTAAAATACAGAATACAGATAAATTATTAGCTGAAGAATAAATTATTTATCAAAGGAAAAGGATAAATTACTTACCAAATATTAGACAACTTCTAAATAAGAGAAACAAAAGAAATCTTAAAAAGAAAATATGATATTATGAATTATATCATAAGAAGAATGAAAATAACGGAATTATTAGATTAATTAAGAAATTACAAAATTATAGACAAAAATTTAGAAAATACAGAAATAATTAGAAAAACTTAGAAATTATAGAAATAGGAAATTAAGAAGTTATAGAATTTATAGAAATAATCTATATTAATTTTATATAAATAAAATACAGTCAACTCTTGTTATAATAAACTATATATCTTAGACCTCAACTTCGCTATAAGGCTATAGTGAAAATTTTAAGAGATTTGATTGGCCAATTCACTATAGTAAGAGTATTTTTATTATATTTGTTCAAAAAATTCGTTATATCAAGAATTCACTATATCAAAAGTTGACTGTAGAATTCTTCATATAAAATGTAGATTATAATTCTCATATACTTTAATAATGAATTAATAAAGAATATTATACGTAATTAAATACTTAATAAGTTTACCCTAATTCTTAGTAAATTTATGAAATTATAAATAATAAAATTTAGAAATTATAAATAAATAAAAAATATCTTCTAATAATATACTTACACCATGATTGCAGTATTGAAAATTTCTTTGTTATATTAAAGTTAATGTCAGAAACTAATCTGTTATAATATGAAAATAGAAATTTATTAATAAACTGAAAACAAAAAACAAAATTAATAAATTATAAATTTTATAGATTACATGAAAATAATTAAATGGAGGGTCTAATGATAATGAAATCTAATAGAGAGATATAATAATAATTAAGAAAATTAAGTAATAAAATAAGTAGAATAAATGGAATTAAAAATAGTAATAAAAGAAAGATATAACTATACTAATGATACTAAATAATAGAAACAAAGAAGAAAAGATTACTGAAGATTTAAATTCTACTGATAATAATAAAATAATCAAAAGGAGAGTCTAACAATAAAAAATAAATAAAAGATAAAGAATTGCTACGATTAAAAGAAGATACACTTAATATTGACTCTAAAAACCTAAAAAGGATATTATGATAATCTGATAAAACTTAAAAGAATAATTAATGATATAAATTTAAAAAAATGATGATACTGAAATAATGAAAATAGAATTGCAAGAAATTAAAGAATTATGAAATTAAAGAACTAAACAAATTGAAATAAATTAAATTAATGAAAACTAGATTCTTGGACAAATAATATTTATTTATAAATAAATCCTCTTGAAGATGAGTAGCAGAAACGGTTCAAGAAGGTATAGCTCTTGTTAAAGTTATCAAATTCATAAAATATTATACATTTGTAAAATACAGTTTTTAACACTTATAATAGGAAATTAAATCTAATGACTTTTGTAAATTATTTTTCTAAGACAAATTTTCAACATTAATAATATATAATTTTTCTAAATTACTATATGTACGTAAAGTTATTAAATCAGGAATAAAATTGTTTTTTCTAACTCTCACAAGTATAACAAATTACCTTTTATACAAATTCTTATAAAAATAAGGTTAAAGGTAAATTTTTTGCTAAGTCTATGTATAATTTTGCTCTTTATTTTGACTAAACATTAAATTGATAATAAAATTTAAAAATAATAAACTAAACTCTAAACTATAGGCCTTAGGGTATTTATTTTAAATAATATAAAAAAAATTTAATACAAAATGATTGAATAATTTTTAATATTTATATCTTAACTAAAATAATTTTATATGTTTAAATTAAATTAACTAATTTTAATATAAATATTCAATTTTTATATCTATTCTATTATTTTAATCAACTCATATCCAAATATTTTAAGATGGTAATATTTCAAATCTATTATAAAAATTCATAAGTAAAAATTAGCAAAAGTAAAAAATAAATAATATTTCTGATTCACTCTTACTTTTATATTATATTTTTGTAGCCTTACATTTGAAAAATTTAATATATAATATAATTTAACCAAATTTAGTGACATATCAAGGAGATACATATTGATTTTTTTAGCAAATATCAAATGTTTTAAAGAATTAAGAATGGCAATATATCTCTTTTAACTTTATATTTTCATTTTATTTTCATTGTATAAGGCAGATAAAAATGATCATTAATTATTTTATATAATTTACAATAGTCAAGAATTGATTTTAAACTATATTAATTTGATCACATCATGAAAAATTATATAAATTAAATTAGTCCTAAAAAACCTAAACATAAAAAGAAAATAAAATGATATTATTTTTGTAAAATCCATTAACTTAATAACACAAACGTATCACATGATCGCGGGAAAATTGTCGATCAGGTATAAATCTAAATCTGGATCTTTTTTTAATAAAAATTTTTACCAACTCTTTAATCTCTTTTATGATTTTTCATGGGTAGTGTAACACTTTGTTACTGATTTTCGAAAGAATTATATAAAATTTTTATTTACTTTATTTAATTTATTTTATTATGATATAAAGCTTTGGAAAAGAAAAAGAATATTCTTGCGGCACAAATAGCCGAATTATCAAATCCTGCTCCAACGGGTTAGTTTTTTTATTTATTTATTTATTTTAATAATAGGAATTTTTGCATTGTATTAATAAACACTAATTATCTTTGAAGATATTGATCCGGAAGAATTTGGCGAAACCTTTCGTACATATGGTTGTGATCAAAGTGATGATGATGGAGAAAATGAAAAAGTAGAAAAGGATATGGGAAGAGAACATTATATTTCAGTTGGGTATGATTTGATCATTTATGGTTATTGATACTCGAAAACTTTCTCGAAACTATTTGATAGTTATTTCTTTTATTTATAGAAAGAGTACTCTTCGGCACAACCTGTTCATTTTGGATGATCCAAAGTATGTTGGAAAACATAGTAATAGGAAAGATATATTTGATGATTCCAATGACATTGAAGATATCGAAATGACATTCGGACAAGGATCTGAATATGACAATGAAAATGAGATAACGGCTTATAACAAGGAGGATAAACTTTATTCAGATAAAAGGAAAGGTGATGAAGATCAGGAATCAGATTTTGATAATAAAGATGATGGCGCATCTTTAGAAAATGGTTCACTTGTTCAGGAAGAATTAAAAAAAATTGAAGAAGATGAACGGTACGACTGTTTATTTATCAATTCTCTTGATGAAATTTAAAAATATTAATGTATAATTGAATTTAGGAATTTGTTACACAAGATGACACAAAATGTTCAAGAAGATATAAATAAAGGGCGGCATGTTAAAACACAGCTGGTATGTATCATAACCATGAAGTTATTTGCTTTTCAGTGATATTTCCACATTCTTATGTATCCTCTTTTTTAAGGGACTTTGGGATACATTTTTAGATACTCGAATTCGCCTCCAAAAAGTTGTCTCTATTGCTAATTCATTACCTCAAGTAACATGTTAAATCATATATTTTATTGAGTTAAATTATTTTGGATTAAAGTGTTAAAAAATTATTTGCACTTATAGAATGATGTTTATTCAGGATTTCTTGAGCAAGAATCAGAGATAGCTGTTCAAGAAACACGAAAAGAATTAAGGGAACTTGTAGATTCACTTATAGATTTAAGAAAGGTATATATCATCAATATTTATTTTTCGGTATTTAGTCTTATTTTTAGCCTCCAATTAATTTTATATTGACATCAGGATTTATACAACGAGAATGAAAATATTGAAGGAATTTCTGATAACACTATTAATAGTCGTAAGCGTCATCTTGATGATGAAGATTACGCAGAGTACTTATGGAAAGACATGAAAGAATTACGTGATCAATATTTACCCTATCGTAAGCAAACTATTGACAAATGGAGTAATAAGGTCCAAATCGCCTCAGGTATTCCGCTAAATAAAAAGTTCAAAGCTATTAATCAAGATGTAAATACACAAATCGACCAAATTTTACAAGATAAAGAAAGATTGATTAAGAGAACACAATTGAAAAGAAATTCAGATAAAATTTTAGGAAAGGTTTGTTTTTGTTTTATCAACTATATAATACTTATATATTATTTATTTTGAAAATTTTAAATTTCGCTCTTATTTATTTTTTTCATAGAAAGATCATGACGGAACTAATAAAGATATAAAGAAACACGACGAACATCTTTCAAATTATGATGCTGAAATTTTTGATGACACTGATTTTTATCAGCAGCTTTTGAGAGAACTTATAGAAAGTCGCATGATTGATACAGGTAAGCATGTAGATTTCGGGTTTTACTTATTAGGTTTCTGCTTCATTGATTTTATTATTTATGGCTGTTTTTAATGTTACAGACGATCCAGTTGCGCTTGGAATGCAATGGGCGGCAATTAGACAAACAAAACAAAAGAAAAAAAAGGTTGATACCAAAGCGAGTAAAGGGAGGAGACTAAGGTTATTTATTCTAAAAAATTTATGAATATTGGACGGATATTCTTTTTATTAAATTAAGCACGCCTAAACTAAAATTTATTCAACTTATTTCTTTAGATATCATGTTCATGAAAAATTACAAAATTTCATGGTACCAATTCCAAGTAGTACTTGGCATGAAGACATGATCGATGAATTATACGCTTCTTTATTGGGTAAAAAATATGAAGAAGGTTCAGAATTAAGTGAAAATGAAATCAGATCAGAAACAGAACAAAAAGGAGAAAATAATATAATCGAAGCTAGTTTGAATGGTTTGAGAATATTTGGATAAAACGATTGTTTGATAAATTACGGATCGCATCAGAATTTTCAAGGAATATTTAATATATTTATAATCAATTCTAGTAAAATTAGTATTTGATTTGTTCATTATCCCAATGCCAAAAAAAAAAATTTTTTTTCTGATACAATTTGTTATTACTACATTTTAATTAATACAATTACAACCTATTAATCTGTTTTATAATTGACTTTTAATTTATTTTAATTTTGAGAGGTTTGAGCTTATATAACTTTTCATAGAACAACTTTTTGCAATCATCATATAATATACAGGGTTATAAAACAACATAAAAAAGTTTATGGTTTCAAGAAATTTTTTGTTATTCCAAAATTTTAGTTATTTTTATTTATACCATATCTTTATTAAATAATATAATATATAATATAAGCATCAAATAATAAATATATAATTATTTTGGTTCCAAGAAAAGAAGATATCAAAACTAATATATGTAACTTCAGATTAAAGTTCTGTATAAGTTGAACTGCTTGAAAGCCAAATGAGCTGGCTCGTTTAGACTCAGCTTGAGCCACTATAAATCGAGCTGCGAGCTAAACAAGCTGGTTTATGTCATAACTTGGCTTGTGTTGCAGCTCAGCTTGTTAGCTTGTATTTTCTTCTTTGAAGAAAATAAATCCAAAGGCAGTTTTTCTTTGAAAAAAACTGCTCTGATGGCATTTACTTAAAGAAAAATGGTCTCAGTAACGTTTTCTTTGAAGAAAAATAATTCTGGTAATATTTCCTTTGAAGAAAATGAACCTGATGGTGTTTCCTTTGAAGAAAAATGCATCCAGTGGCGTTTTCTTAAAGGAATTCGCTTCAGAAGTGAATTCTTTTAAAAAAAATGCTTCAGATGTGAAAGCCTTCAAGAAAATCGCCTCAGAAGCGAATTCTTTTAAAGAAAATGCTCTAGAAGTGAATTCCTTAATGGAAAATGCTTCAGAAACGTTCCTCTCAAAGGGAATCATTCTGAGAACGCATCTCTTAATGAGAATCGTTTCTCTCAATAGTTTTTTGTTTCTAAATATAAATGTAAGCTAAACGAACTGGCTTGCAAGCTGGATTGGCTTAGCTTGGCTTGTAAATTGATCTCCATAAGTCAAGTCAAAAAAAGTGGCTTAGCTCGAGCTGATGGCAATCTAAGCCAAGCCAAACTAGCTTATGCGGAGCTTTATTTCAGATAAATTTTACCATTGCTTAACTAATCAGAGATTCAATTTGCATTCATAGCTCTTCGCATAAGAACACAGAAAACATCTGCTTAATTTTGAATCTTGATACCAATGTAATAATAAAACATTTGATCGTTTGTCTTCCTGATGTATTACAACATTTTAAATTTCTAATAATTGTGCCAATGTAGTTAATTTTTTTTTTTCAATAACTATCACAATAAGTAATAATCTCACTGATTTTTAAAAGATAATTTCCCATTTCAGATAGATATTGTGATAGCTCTTTTCTAAATTCCTTTAAAAAGTAATTTAGAAAGTTACTGCAAACTGAAGATATTATAGCATCACTATTATGACTTGTGATAACGACTGACTGTAATATCAAAGATTAGTGCTTGTTAATATAAATGTGTGAATATCTAATCATAAACAATTTTAATAAATAAATATTCTTAAAAATTACCTGCTAAGATATATTACTGCATCAAGACCAATGATAGCTTCTGTTGCCAAAGATACTTACCTATAAATAGAGCTGCTGCTAATGCAACTATAACATTAACTTTGAAAATTCTTTTCAAAATTTCATATAATTCATCCTTACTTTTCATAATTGCATCATTATATGCAACAATTTTAGGAAATATTGTTTCTAAACATCTTTTAATTTTGATAAAGTAATTCAGAATAACTCTTACAATAGTTAAAATAGTCCAAATCAACTAAAGATCAAATAGCTGATTTTAAGCTGATTTTGATACTATTTACAGCTGATTTGCCATGTTTCCAATCAATACAAAAGATACCGATAGACGCTGATCAACTTCAATCAGACATAGCCATTCAAAACTTAAATTCAATTATAAATCAACCTAAAACTGACTTCAATTCAGCAACAATTCAGACGCTGATAGAAGCTGATCAATTCCAATTGGATATAGCTATTCGGCATCAATTCAGAACTTAAATAACATAAATCGGCCTAAAATTGGCCACAATTTGGCAATAATTCAGATACTGATTGATGCTGATCGACTCTAATTAGACAAGTAATTCAATCATAAATCAGCCTAAAATTAGTTTCAATTTAGTATCAATTTAGTAACAATTCAGATATCGATCAATGCCAATTGACTCTAATTGAACAAGCAATTCAGCATCAATAATCAGTACATTTTATTTATTAAATTTATTAAATATTAAAATTTTATTAATAATAAAAACCTAATATAAATTTGCAAAAATATAATAAAATATCATTAAAATCTATTGATTAATTTCTATTAAAAATAAAATAATATAATAAAATAATAAAATATGATCCATTTTCTTCTAAAATCCCCTTAAATATAGATAAATAAATAATATATAATAAAAATATAATCCATTCCTTCTGAAATCACCCAATAAATGTAAAATAATAAATTAAAATGTAAAAAATAGAAAAATTAATCCAAAATCACCTAAATAAAGATAATTAATAAAATCAATCCGTTTCTACTTCAAATCGCTTAAAAAACGTAAAAATAATTATTAAAAAAAAAACTTAACCTAGACTGGAGGATTCAAGTTGCTTATCCTAGACCCCTAGGATTCAGACTGGTTAATCTAGACCTGTAACTTAATTTAAAAATTCTATATTAATACATGATCTGCATATATTTATATTTACATCATAATAAATTTTTTTTTACCTTTATTCGTATCTTCATGTTGCAATAAAATTTTCAGGTTAAAGTTTTTCCATACTGTTTATATAGTAAATTTTTTTGTATCACAAAATCTATGTCTGAAGTTCAGACTTCTATTCAAATTTATCAACCTCAAGTTAATGACATATTCAAGAATCATGATGAGTTTGTTAATAAAATCAAAGATTATACACATAAACTTGGTTTTATTATTAGACTTGGAAAAGTTAAATATTTAAATATTACTAAAAATCAAAATTCTAAAAAGATTTCTAAAGAAAAAGAAAAAATTATTACAGAAAAAAAAATTCAAAAAAGAACATTATTATGTTCTCGAGTTGGTTATTCTGGATTAAAAGAATATGACTCAGAAGATAAAAATTTAATTAACAAAGAACGAAATTGAAAATCTCAACAATATAGTTATTCTTTTTATATTCGTGCTTCTTTTAATAATTCTAATGGTTTATGATATATAATTAATATGAATCTTATTCATAATCATCAAATGGTTAATGAAAATCATTGATTTTTATGTCTAATGAACAGAGTATTCCTGATGATGTTAAACAATGAATAGAATTATTATGTCGTACTAGTGTAGATGTTCTTACTATACGTGTAATTTAAAAGAAGAGTTTGGTGATTGTGTTATATGAGCATATAATGATATTTATAATTTTATTTATCAATTAGAAGATTCTGGTTCAGAAAAAAAAAATTTCAATGCTGAAGAATTTATAAAAATATTAGAACAACTTAAATATGATAATGCAGAATTCTTTTATTATACTGATATTAATAATATAACAAAAGATTAGAATGAGTAATATACAGAAAGGTAAAATAAATATTGAATAATTTTTATTTGATGTTTATTTATATTTATTTGCTACAATAAATTCGTATAATATATTTAATATTTAGTATAACCTCCTTTAGCAAAAATAACTGCATAGATTCGAGAAGGCATTGAATTAATAAGTTTTTAATATATTTCTTTAGGAATTGATTTCCATTCTTCAATAACCATTTTTTCTAACTCTTAGATGTTAGATGCTTCGGGTTTACGTTTTTGAAGTCCAGACTCAACAATTGATCAAAGTTCTTCAATAGGATTAAGGTCAGGACTTTGAGGTGGCCATGACAAACGTTCTACTTTACTTAAAAGAAGAAAATCTTGTGCGATTTTTGCTGTATGCACTGATGCATTGTCTTTTTAGAAAACAAGCTTTTTTTGACTTTTCGTGATTGTTCTTTAAGGGTTGACACAGCATAAATTTCAAGAATTTCACAATAGGTTTTACCAGTAACAGAACCAATTAATGGAATAATAGGTCTGAGACCAAACTATGAAAAATAGCTCTAAAATATTCGTTTGGGACTGTATTTTACGGTCGAGGTGATACAATCTTCATTAAATTCTTCTTCAGATTTTTGTCAAACTCAACTTCAACCTGAGGTTTAAAACTGAGAAAAGGTAGATTCATCTGACCAAACTACTTTTCTCCAGTCAGTCATTGTCCAATTTTTATGCTGTTCTGCGAAAGCAAGTCTTTTGATTTTATTTGCAGAAGAAATCAATAGTTTTGGACGAGACATGCATGATCGAATGCCTTCTATCCTTAATGCTTTTTGGATGGTTCGCTTGGATACTTTTTCACCTTTATTTTGTTTTATAAAAAGCTGACAAACTTCTTTTAAACTTTGGCGCCTAGAATCTTTATTATTAAGAACAGCTTTTGACAATT